ACCCTACTTGCAAAAAGGTCCTGATGTGTGATGATTGTCTGAAATGGCAACATTTGGTGTGCGTGGGCATCAAGCAGACCCCAGCAGGTGACTGGTTCTGCAGGGTATGCTCAAAATGAACGTGAAAGCATAGAAAAAAGGTTTGAGAGCTAAACTTAGCATGTAAGTTGAAAACAAGTCATTTTTAGAAAATGTCCAAAATATAAGTTGTTTCAAAAAATCTAATTTCAGTTTCTTTCTTTTATGCAATATTTCCCATTAAACATTTGTACCGAAAGAAGAACACGCAGATAAATTGGGAGATTGTACAATAAAATCGGCCAAAAATAATCGAAAGTTCAATCAAATCCATTTTCATATGTTTGGGGGAAGCATTACTCCTAATCCCTTCCAAGACAAGCGATACTACTAATCCTCTCAATATGAAAAGTGAAAGCCTCCAACCTCTCAGGATCATTGATAGTAGTCCCCTGCCTGATCCTATTCTCCTTCTTATTAGTCATCTGCTTAAAGAAGTGGCCCCCATCCTTCAGAAGTTACAGGCTTTGCAGAGATGGACATGAGTTCCCTCCACTTGCTTGATGAGACTGGTCTCCAGTGTGAGTCCCCCTACCTTGTCGATGCACTCACGTCCATGGAAGAATGCCATTCCACAGGTACAAGTGAACAACTCCCCAAACTTGAGTTCTTCCCTGGTCTCAGGATCTTTTTCAAATTTACATCGATGAACAATCTCGGAGTAGCAGACTTGGATGAATTTTGGAGGTGCTTCTTCAGGCTCCATCTTCACTGCTGGAGTAGGGATATCGTCATCCCAAGACTCCAGATCTTGACCAATAACAGGTTTAGCTGGAGCACTGGAATTACCCCAGGAGTCCTGGAATCTTTGAGTTGGCTTTTGCTTTCCCCAGGATGCAGCAAAGCCTTTGCTGAGTTGAGCTGTTGCTTCTTCGTCATCCCAGGATACTCCAGTGATATCATCAGCTGGAGGTACTGGTGAAGTCTCCGCAGGCCCCAGAATTCGTTCTTTCGTTGTTTCTGTCTCCAAAGCTGGTTCCGAGGACGATTCACAGATCTATCTCTGGAGTTATTTGCGCTCCCCTTCCCAGAGTCACGACAGTATCGTCTCTGCCTGGCCTCTGATATCCTCGACGATTCTAGTGTCCAAAGCTTGAGTTCTCACTGGACCTGCTGCTCCCTCTGTAATCTCTAGAGCCACTTCTCGAACGATTATCAGATTATGAGTCGCTTGAAAACTGTGACCATAATTGTTGTCTCGGAAGTTTCTTTGGGCTGGAACCCCAGTCGTTCTTTGAGGGTTGATTGTCCGAGTCCCAAGAATCAGATGGTGGATCGCCTGGCGGCGGTGGTTGGGGGGGGGGTTGTCTGCCAGGGATTAAAGGGCTAGTTTGAAGGCTTGGCGTGCTGGTGTCTCGTCGTCCCAGGGTTCTAGGTTAATGGATCTAGATTCTGCAGTTAGCCCCAATTAGCACTAGTTGCAGGAGGTGCCTCATCATTGTCCCATGACTCCAGTCCATTCTGACTAGCCTTGGGATTTGATTTCGGTGTTTTTTCCCCTGAAGCCTCCCAGACCCCCTTAGGCTCATCATCCCACGAATCCGGAATAGTCCAATTGAAGAGCTGTAGTCTTATCATCTCAAGATCCATTACCATTTTTTAATGAATTCACTAGGTTTTTCATCGTAAATTTTCTCCTGCATGCGATGGCTTATAGAAATAAATATCAATTCAATTAATCAGTGAAGGCGTAAACCTAGAAAAAATCTTGCTGGTATCCTCAACCGAATATTGCAAAATTCGGACTAGATTGCAGAAATTTCGGGAGGTCATATGTGATATTTTCTGTTCTTACAAAATCGATCTCTTTGGAACTATTTTCATCTTTATTCCGAGAAACTGATTTTTGAGCAGATATAAGTGACGGCAAGCTAAGAATTTTCAACGATAAACGAGAGTGCGAGCCATCTATCTTATATCCACGGCAAAAATAAGACCTAACGCATCTACCTCATAATTACAAAAGATACGTTTTAGGTCCCCGATATAATCCCCTTATATATTCACGCCGAAAATGGAGGCAATGTATAAAAATCACTTACCTTATATCCACGGTAAAACTCACCTAAAATCCCCGGTAAAAGAGGGTCCAATGGACTACCTTATATCCATGGTAGGGATTACAATAAATTTATGGTTGAATCTTCCGTATATTTACCTTATATCCATGGTACGAATTACAATAATTTATGGTCGAATCTTCCATATATCTACGGTAAAAAGGGCCCAATGCGTGCCTTATATCCACGTTAGAAATTACCTTAAATCCAGGGTAAAATCTCCCGTATATCCACGGTGAAAAAACGGGGTCCAATGCACTTGTCTTTCTACCTTATAACCACGGTAGAAATTACCTTATATCCACGGTAAAATCTCCCGTAAATCCACAGTAAATTTACCGTGGAGCGTGTGAATAGACACTGCCAAAAACTTGACTCCTTCGTTTGTTTGCAACGAACCTATCGGAAAAATACCCGATAATTTTGAAGCTCTTGTGGTATTACAAGTGATTATTTTTTGAATGATCCTCGAAAAACTAAATTTGAAAAAAAACTCAAATACGTACATACATACATATATACGGACATGATCTAAAAACTGCATGATATTCGAACTCCTAAGACCAAAATTACTCACCCTGGCACAAAAAATGAAAATTTCAGGTTTGACGAATACATCAGGGCTTCCATTTGGAAGCAAAAAATCTAACTCAACTTTTACAAAAATTTTCAAGTAGATTGAGAGATCATTAAGAATAAAAAATCATATTTTCATGAATAAAAAAATTCAACTTTCAATTCCCAAAAAAGGTGAGAGTAGATATTGTGAGACAATTGAGAATCAAAAATCCAACTCTTAATTTTCAAAAAAATTGAGTCGATTGAAAGACAATAGAGAATAAAAAATGCAACTGTCAA